AAAAGCAAACAATTCTCCAGCAACGGCGCCAAAAATTTGATGTAGGTGCAGTGGGAAACTACAAGTTTTACCATAAATAAGCTGCAAGTGCACAAGAAACGCAGTAGTACTAAGGGGTCGAATCCACATGGATTTATGTGTTGATGATTTTTAACTGATACTAAAGACAACTCTAAACCTAATCAGATTAAAAGGGGTTTTTTGTGGGTTACGAAAATTCTAATAAACTAAGCAGGAAATTAAACTAAAAGCAAGAGGTGTAAACAATAGATAAAAAGCGCTGGGCGTTAGAACATTAGGAAATTAGATAAGAATTTTCTATGACTCATGAACTAGAATAGACATAGGTATGATTAGCCAACTGTCGTCACCTTAACCATGTAATCTTTAAAACTGGACCAGTAGCTTTCATCTCTAGCTGCGAGAGAGATCATCTCATACGACGGTTACGTCCATAAGAATACAGATCAGCCAATCTGATACATCATTGCCGTGGCTCTGATTACACCTTGGATCAGATGCTAGGTGATCAATCCAACATACATGCATTAGGATCAGGAGAATGAGAGAATCATGTTAAAAACGAATTTCTTAATCTAAAAAACCTAGATGTTTTCAATTATGAGGGACCTTTTGATAACCCCTTCATCCAAAAAAGTAACTACTCAAACATAGCTGAGCTTAACATTATCATTAGTTTTAAAACATAAAAGTAGTAAAATAAAGAGATAAGAATGAAGAAAAGCTTCCCTTATTAAGACAGGGTTGGCAAGACATCCTTCTACAATTGCATAAAATTAAAACCTAAAACTTAAGAATGGTACACTATTCTAAAGCATGAAAAGACACAAGTTGTAAAAGACCTAAAGACAATGTATTTATAGTCTCTCTTCTCTTGTGAGCGTTTAGAGTTTGCAGAATAAGTAGAGAATACCTTGGGCTCTGAGTTAGGTTTCTGAGACTAGATATTAAGTCCACTGTGGGTGAGAAAGTCGGATCTGCGGTGCAAGCTCCTCCGGCCACGGATGAGGAGTGTTTCACCTTTGCAGTTGTGTTCATTTACCTTCAATGCATCAGGGATATCTGGAGATTTAACCATTGAATTGCGTCTAATCTAATTGAACTATAAAGCTGGTTGTCTCCTATATGTTGTCTCAAAATTTGGAGATGATCAGACGGTGAGAAGGTCTTCATTGGTTGTCAAACTTCTAACGGCATGAATTCATCCAAAAATGTACTTTTTGCTCTAAAATGCATTTTATAAGTCCAAGTTTCCTGAAAAGTCTTTTAAAACTCTAAAACATAGAATTCACTTATAAAACATTAAAAATAGAGTTAAAATACCTGCATAAGACATCAAAAACGATCTATAAAAATAGTAAAAATCGGGTGATACCAATTGAAAACGCAAGAACTATTGTAACAAGAACTTGTACTCTAACTGACACAAAGATTTTTTCTAAAAGAAAACATACTACTAGCAAATCCTTTAAGTAACATACAAGTTGAATCTAACACGATTCTCAACAAGCTAAAGACATACCTTAACTTGTCTAACTAGTCTCTCACGTTCAAAGATCTATACACGATCCAAGAACCCCATAGATGAACCCTTTAGCTTTTGATCTCTAGCAAGACAATCAATAATCCTATGAAGAATTCTCTCTCTATCCGTGTTAAGCACGTACAATTTTTCAACACTCTCACAGTAGGCATATGGCTAACCCTAGCCAAAATCCTCCCTTAGTGATAAAGTCAAATCTCCATGAGAATAACTTCTTCCCTTATATTTAGGATGAGAATAAGGAAACTCTTTAAATCAACCATATCTTCTCCAAGATGTGTCAAGCACAGATACCACTCTTGGCTCATCTATATCAACTTCTAAGCCCAATCCAGCTCACAGCTTCTGCTCCAAGTCATCAGTTGCCTAGCAGTGCTCTCTTGTATTACTTCATGCGTTACTTCAACTGGTACAACTACTGCTTCAAGAGTTGCATCTTCAGGCTCCTCCTCCCTTTTCTTTTTTTGTTTTTAATTGATCTTCGTCAGCCGGTGGAACGCTTGGAGAGTAGACCCTCGACAATGCGACAGTTCTAGTCGTGATGCAGTGCAGTGGCGAAGCTGTGGAGGGACGACACTGGTATCAACAAGATTTTAGTGGGATCCGGTGTGTGAGACTGTGAGGATGGCTCCAATGAAATGAAAGACATCGTTGTGATCAGTTCGCCGTTGTACTCAAATGTCGTTCGTTTTAGTGTCGACTTGGCTTTTTGGTGAGGCGGTCCTTTGGCTCACGGTGACAAGATGATCTCTGGCAAAGCATTTTGTCGATAAATTTCTGACAATCAACCTTATACAATGCTGGATTTGGTATTTGGATTTGATCTCGAATTTTCATGAATTCCAAGATTTAGTTTGGTATCTTCTTTTGTGATTCTTGATTCTCAGTTTTGTGGGTTAATTCTCATCCTCTCTTTGGCTCTAGTCTCTTTGCAGTTCTATGGTTTGTGATGATTCAGCGGGTTGTCTTGATTTTTGAGCTGCAAGTGAAGTTTTGATGAAGCTTTGATGGAGAAGCATCTTGGAGGTGTTTTGTCTCGTGATCTCTATTATTGGAGGAGCTAGTAATGCCTTTGGATTATCGTTTATCTAGGCTCTACGGCGTCTGCGCTAGCCGATATTGGGGAATAATCTTGGTAGAATGAGTACGCTATCCAAGTTTTTTAGGTTAGTGTTGTTCCATTCAATGTTCTTATCAGATTTGTTGGATGAGCCTAGACTAGATGACATTATGGGTGGTCTAAGATCAATGGCATTGAAGACCTTTTTGAGTGTGGTACAGTGGCGGAGCCAGTTTCAATTGAGGAGGGTCAGCTGCTCCAGGTGAAATCCTGAAAAGTAAATAAATTGTTGTTAAGTTTATTTAATTGGTCTATTATCCAAATCCAAAACAAGAATTGATCCTTCTAAAATTTAAAATTTAAGATAGTTCAATAAATATTAGAGAATGTTGATCCAATAACCATCACAAAAAACTATAAAATAAAAATTCATGATAAAGTTTATAATTCTCCCATACAATGGTTCTATTTAGAAGCAGAAGCATTATAAATAAATAAGAGTTCATCTTGAAATAATAATTACTTAGATAAATTCTAAACCTCTTCTAAAAACTGATATAATTTAGAAAGGGACCTCGCCGAAAGATAAAATTTGTGAATACGACTACGTGTAATATTATTGGTGATAAAACAATAAAACAAGTATTTTAAACTATCACAATAAAACCATAATAAAACAATAAAACTGTAATAAAAAATTTTTAAAATATGAGTGAGCATAAAATGCATCTATAAGATGTTTATCAATGGTGAATATTTTTTCAGTGAAACTTATATAATTTTTTTTAATATTTTTTATAATTTTTTAAGATAATATATATTATGACCCATATAAAAAATTTCTTGCCTCCGCCACTGGTGTGGTGTTGTTGTCCTCGGGCTTCTAGTGAAAGAGCTTCTGATATGCAGAGTCTACTTTTTTGCAATTTTTCAAGTTAGTATTCAATCGAGTCTAATCTCGATTTCCTTTGCTCCTTGGGTTTCCATAATCGTTATTGCTTCATCTTTGACATTGGGAGCTGAAAAGCTTATGGTTATGTCCATGGACTGAGTTTTATTTTAATTTTGCTTCCATGTTATAATTATTTTTGCCATAGAACCAATTTCATGTATTCTGCTTAGTGTAACATCTAAACGGTTTATTTTACTGAATATTTTTACAATTTAGCAAAAAAATCTCTTCCCACCATCACTGTCACATTATTAAAAAAAAAAATCAATAGCCGTAAGATTAAATTCTAAAGTATACAAGGGGTGGTGGTCTTACGAAATTAAAATTTGTAAAGTCTAATTGGACTAGATCGAAATTTTATTTTAAGGTCTAAAAGTGGTCCTGAGATTAATCTTTTATAAGAAACCAGTTGTTCCTTTTCTTAACAATAAACTAGTTGGTGGTCTTACGACGTTATGACTTTGATAAATGATACCTATCATTAATGCCCGATTTGATAGTCAAAAGTATTGTCGAGACTATCGTTCCTTTTTGGTGGTTGTACTTTCCAATATGTGAACTAGAAGGCATCGTCGTCATTCAAGTTTTCAGTTTAGTATATCCAATTTTAAAAACCGAATTGGAGTATGGTTTTGTTATTTTTTTTTTAACACCGTTTGGTTCGGTTCACTTTTGGATTTTGATTATATATATTTTTAATTTTAACAAGAAACTATATATATTTTAAACATCTGCATATGTGTCAAATTACTTAAACATTGGCTTTCGATTAATTTTTTCTTTTTCAATTTGAATTCATTCGGGTATAAGATATGCATAAGCAAAGTAGAATTTTGGTTCAACTAGATTCGGTAGTTATAGATTATATTATGTTTGGATTTCGAAATAAATAGATAAAAAAATAAACCACACAATTAAATTAGAATGTGACTCTTGATTGGTTGCTCAATCCATAAGAATGTGACATCTTAATCATTTTCTAACTGTTTTTTTTTAATCTGGATAATTCAGGCCAAATTGAAAGTATTTTCCAAATATGGTTTGTGAAAATCTAAGTTTTCTTCTTACTTTTTGTTTTGGCTCAACATCTACTTTTCATTTCTCCAAATGTTTAATACAAAGCATTCTTATCTTCCTCAACATAAAATGTGATCCAATTAGACCGCATAATTGTATACAACTTAGGGACACTGTCAACTTAGGGAGATGCTGATTAGGAAGTTTTCTTCTTACTTAAAACGTTCACATATGAACAACTCAAACATGATCCTCAACTGCTAGAATGAATCATCAACCACTAAATTACCGTGAATTAGTTACCATTTTCTAACAATAACTAAACTTTTTTTATTGATTAGAACGATGTACATGTTTCCTGACATCATCATCGTAATTCAAATCCGCATAATGTAATATAAAAAAATCAAAACTTTACGCGTCTTCCCTTTTAGTCTTCTTGAACTTGAAGTAAACCAAACTACTTTGATTCAAAACTCTAATAAATCTCCGAATCCACTTTCCTCTCTTCTCCGGCTAATCTCCCACTATGTTCCGCCTCAGAGCTCCCGGCAAGAAGCCCATTACCATCACCACCACCACCACCACTACAACCACCGCGTCCACTTTCCTCTATTGGTCACCGGAATCTTCCCCCACCGCCGTATCTTCTCCAACGTCTATGGATCCAATCATCTGGTCCGGTTTACCAAACCACATCCTCGACCACATCCTCTCTTTCCTCCCTTTCAAAACCCTCGTCTCTCTTCGATCAATCTCTCGCCATCTCCGATCTCTCATCCTCTCTACGACTTTCCTCTCCGACCACTCTTTCTCTCTCCCTTCTTTCCTCCTCCTCTCTCACCCTCAGTCTTTCCAGTCTTTCCCTCTCTTCGACCCAACTCTCCACTCGTGGCGCACGTTACCACTCCCTCGCTCCCTCTCGCTAACCTGCGCCTCCTCTCTCCTCTCTTCTTCCTCCCACAGTCTCCTCTGTTTCTCCCTCTCCCCTTCCTCTGCTTCTTCTCTTTCCGTCTTTAATCCCTTAACCAGATCCTCCAGATCTGTTAAATTCCCGTTTTACCCTTTCCCTTACGAGCTTCTCTCCCTCGTCGCTTCCGCTGACGGTTACCGAATCTTCACCCTCTGCTCCTCCGGCGCTTCGAGATCCGTTTACCTCTACGATTCCGGCGATCGCTCATGGAGAAAATTCGGCGGCGTTGATCATGTTTTACCTCGTGGTTTTAATCAAGATGGAGTCTTTTACAATGGGTCGTTGTATTTCGTCAGATCCGAGCCTTTTCTGCTCGTGAGCGTAAATCTCGACGACGGAAAGTGGACCACAGCTACCGGAGATGGAGTATTTCCGGCGGAAGATGAGATCACGTTTGCTAGGTTAGTGAGTGATTCAGAGAAGAAGATTCTTTACATGGTGGGAGGAATTGGGAGCAACGGGATTTGCAGGAGCATCAAGATTTGGGAGTTTAAGAAAGAAACAGAGAATTGGATTGAAGCTGAAACATTACCGGAGATTGTTTGTCGGAAATTCACTTCGGTTTGTTACCACAATTATGAGCACGTTTACTGTTTGTGGCATAAGGAGATGATCTGTGTTTGTTGCTATAATTGGCCTGAGATTCTCTTCTTTCATGTTGGGAGAAGAACATGGCATTGGGTTCCAAAGTGTCCATCGTTGCCGGAGAAATGGAGCTGTGGGTTTCGTTGGTTCTCTTTCGTCCCGAGCTTGTCTGTTTCTGCTTAGTTACATATTGGTCTTCATTTTTTGTGTGTCACTGTATTTGTTATTGTCTTTGTTTGAAATCTCCATTTTATTTTGTTTGTGAAATAAAAGGTCGTTAATTAGGCATTTGTTTGTTTTCATCATCCATTTGTATCATATATATTATAAGCCAAATATATATATTTTTTTAAACTCTCTCGTTCAATTTCAGAGTGATTATTTACTCTTTGCCCCTTCTTAATTTTATTTTATTCTAGGGTGATTAATTACTCTTAGTCCATTCTTAATTTTGTTTTAATTTTTTTTTTTAAAAAAATTGTTTAAATCTAAAATCTGAAATCACGATTAAAATTTAAGTTATAATATTTTAAAAAAAATTCTAAATTCACGTTATCTCAAACTGAATTAGGTTATATCATTAACTATATATACCATATATATTGACAACAACCTCCGTACTTTTTTCCTGAGTATTATCGCATTAGGTTTAAATCTTGTTTTTGCCTTTTTATCTTCTCCCTTTTTTATACATTCGATATAATATAACTGGTATTTTCTGTTTGTGTTAATCTTTGATCGTTAATACTGATACTCTGTTTTTAAAGATTGTGATAGTTTTTTTTTGTTAGTTTGTGGTCTTTACTTCCTTTTGTTGTTTTTTTTTGCTGTATAGGTTTTGGTGTTTTGCAGTTGAGTTGTTTTTTTTCATTTTGTCACTCTCCCTGTTTCTACCAAAAGCTCCATGATTCTTCACAGATCCCTCCCATCTCTTGCTGAAGAACAAATCTCAAATTTGGAAATCTTCATCAAATACTCAAAAAATTCTCCGTCAATACTCCGTCAAGAACACCCGACCATCTTCGTCAACTTTGAACTCTTCTAGCCCTGTGCTAAGTTTTTCCTAAAGAATCGTGTTTTGAGATCTATACAACACTGCCATAGCGGCAGCTATCTTGCTAACTCAAGTCTTCAAATAACACAAGCTCGTTGTTCATAAGCCTTCTAGCCTAGTGCTAAGATTATCCCACCTAATCTCTCTCTCCTTCTGGATCTACACAAAAAAATCAAAATCATCTCTGTCCTTGACGAAGATACAGAGAACGATGATAAACAAATCAGATCTACAGACACCATAGTAGCCATAGCAAAGAATATGATTAGCGTAATGATGCTGATTTATATGAAGAAGGTGATCTGGAAAATTTTAAGAAGAGAAGCAAATTCCCAAATCTCAAATCTCGGATGCTGATCTACCTGAGGTCGAAGCAAACGCCCAAATCCCCGGTGGCCAAGGGAGCTCGTTGACGAAGCAAAGTTTCAGTATAAACATTGGTTTCTCGCCGGTTTTGCCTGTTGTGGCGGTGGTGACAATCACCGACGGCAAAGAAAAAATATTAGTGACCTAGTTTGAACCTGACTATTGGATCATTAATTAGTGGACCTAAATTAATTATGGGCTAAGCCCAAGAAATAATGTTGCTGTGAAAAATTTCAAGACATTTTGGCTAAAACACATAGAGTTTTAAATATTTGATATGCCCAATCTAATATAGGTTAAAACCAAACAAATTAGAAATCAGTATTGAACTACTGCCCATAATGAACGTCATCGGGTGGAATTGTCAAGGAGCTGGATCGGATCTGACAAAAGATCATTTAGAAGAACTCTACAAATGTTTACAACCGAGGTTTCTATTTTTGTCAGAGACCAAAAATAATTGTTACTTTCTGCAAGATATGCAAATTCATTTTGGATATGATCATGTTTTCATGGTTGAACCGAGAGGTCGAAGCGGCGGTCTAGCCCTTTTTTATATGGATGAACCTACAGTCTCTATTATCTATTCTGACGAGCATTTGATTGATGTTGAATCAAGTCTAGACGGACATAAAATTTTTATGACTTTCGTCTATGGTGATCCGGTTATAAGAAATCGAGAAAAGGTTTGGGAACGTCTGACAAGGATGAGCACCACTAGAAAAGAAGCCTGGTTTATGATAGGAGATTTTAATGAGATTACCGGAAACCACGAAAAACGGGGAGGTAGAAGGAGACCAGAAAGCTCATTTATTCCTTTCCGGACTATGTTAGATAATTGTGGAATGCTTGATTTTCCCTACAAAGGGAATTCCTTCTCTTGGGTTGGAAGAAGACGGTCTGGCAAAGTTAAATGCCGTCTAGATAGAGCTCTTGGAAATGAAGAATGGCTCTCGAAATTTTCCCACTCTATGGTGGAATATATGAAACTGTGGGGATCGGATCATCGACCAGTCCTTGCTATGATAAAAATGGACAACAAAAGGAAGAAAACATCTTTTCGATTCGATAAAAGATAGATCGGAAAACCTGGTTTTAAAGAGACAGTCATTTCTGGGTGCGGCCCCTTTAATGAAATCTCACGTAGAGATTTTCATCAAAAGGTTGCACAAATCCGAAAAAAACATCTCCGTTTGGAAGAAATTCTCTCCGACTAACTCAGAAAAATTGATCGATGATTTAAAGAAACAATTGGACTTAGCCCAAGATGATGAAAATACAACAGTAGAAGAGATTGAAGACATCAGGAGGAAACTCTGTGCTGCCCTCAGGGAAGAAGATATGTTCTAGCAATAAAAAAGCCGGGAGAGATGGCACAAGGATGGTGATAAAAACACAAAATTCTTTCATGCCATCACAAAACAAAGGAGAGCCAGGAACCGCATCGTCTCCCTTAAGGATAATAACAGACATTTGGTGGAAAATGCGAGAGGAATAGAAAAGGTGGCCTCTTCATATTTTCAAGATCTGTTCTCATCATCTATACCCTCAGATCCAGAAAATTCCCTCCGGTTTATTACCGAGAAAGTCTCAGATAATACAAACCAACAAATCTTAAAGGAACCATCGGAGAAAGAAATTAAAGAGGCTCCTTTCGATATTAACCCAGATAAAGCTCCTGGCCCTGATGGTATGACAAGCAAATTTTACCAAAAATTCTGGCCTTATCTTCGCCACGATATTGTTAAACTGGTTAAGAATTTCTTCAGCTCCGGAACCTTTGATCCGAGACTTAACCAGACTAATATTTGTCTTATCCCAAAAATAAACAAACCTAGAGCAATGGGAGAATTCCGGCCTATCAGTCTATGTAATGTGAGCTACAAGATCATCTCTAAGCTTCTATGTAAACGACTAAAAAAAACACTGCCAACCATCATATCAGAGACACAATCGGCCTTCTTGGCTAGACGGCTTATTACAGATAACATTCTGTTAGCACAAGAAAATTTTCATGCACTCCGTACCAACACAAATTGCAGGGAAAATTTTATGGCTATCAAGACAGATATGAGCAAAGCATATGACCGTGTTGAATGAGGTTTCATTGAAGCTCTCCTAATCAAGTTAGGATATTCAACGAGATGGGTCAGTTTACTGATGTTTTGCATCTCATCAGTTTCATACCAGGTCCTTATTAATGGAGAACCTAAAGGTAACATCAAACCGTCGAGGGGCTTAAGGCAAAGGGATCCTCTCTCCCCTTTCCTTTTTATTCTGTGCACAGAAGGCCTTATTTCGCTTCTTAAGGGAGCAGAGGAAGAGGAGCGAATCTCTGGGCTGAAAATAGCTCAAGCAAGTCCCCAAGTTTCCCACATTCTCTTTGCTGATGACAGCCTGTTTTTCTGTAAAGCGGATATCCAACAAGGAGCGGAGATTCTCCAAATCATAAACACTTATGGAATGGCATCGGGACAACAATTGAATTTGGGGAAATCATCTATCATGTTTGGAGATAGAGTGGACCCGGATCTCAAACGAAATATTAAAAATACCATAGGTATTTCTACAGAAGGTGGTATGGGCATGTACCTGGGCCTACCAGAGCAAATCTGTGGATCAAAGAAGAAGGTCTTCTCTTTTGTTCATGAACGCCTAAGTAATCGTGTTAATAATTGGTCCGCAAGACTTCTTTCCAAGGGCGGAAAAGAGATTCAGATTAAATCAGTGGCTCAAGCCATTCCCACTTACATCATGTCTTGTTATCTCCTTCCTAAAGGGGTTACAGACAAACTTCGGAGCGCCATTGCCAATTTTTGGTGGAGTTCAAAACAATCTAGCAGTGGGATCCACTGGATTGCCTGAGACAAGATTTGTATTCCACAGGACATGGGAGGTCTTGGATTTAGAGATCTTAATAATTTTAACCTAGCCTTGCTAGCAAAGCAACTATGGAGACTCATTCAGTACCCTTCATCTCTTCTGGCTCGGGTGCTAAGAGGAAGATATTATCGACAATCAGACCCGTTAGAGGATCGAAATGTCTACTCACCATCCTATGGATGGAGGAGTATGTTGGCCGCAAAACCGTATCTTAAAATGGGACTAAGGAAGACAATAGGGTCGGGACTAAATACGAGGGCGTGGAGTGAGCCTTGGATACCCGACGCCAGGGCCCGTCCACCAAGAGCAACCCTCCAGATCGGACTTCAGGATCCAAGAGTGTTAGTTTACTCCTTTATCCGTCAAGATACGAAGCAATGGGATGAGCCTCTTCTAAGAGAATTTTTCCAACCTGAGGATGTCTTTCTTATCCTCGGGTTGAGACCTAGTAGGAACCGTATCCTTGATGGATTTGCGTGGAACCATACTAAAACAGGAATATACACGGTTAAATCCGGATATGACCTGATTAGGAAATCAAACCTTGAACAAAATTTGGATGTCGTGAGAGAACCGAGTATCACAGCTCTTCAAAGCTATGTTTGGAAAGTACGGACGCCTGGAAAAATGAGGCATTTTATGTGGCAAGCTTTATCAGGATGTATTGCTACTTGCCAAAACCTAACCTACAGGCATATGGGAACGGATAAGAGTTGTCCCCGCTGTGGGAATCCTGAAGAATCTATTAACCATCTTCTGTTCTTATGTCTCCTGGCTTTTCAAGTCTGGGCGTTATCGGACTTTCCGTCCCTTCCGGGTGTCTTCCCGAGTATCTCTATTTACCAAAATATGAGCTTTCTCTTTTGAAAAACAAAAGAGTTAGGCATGACAGATCCTCAAAAGGATATTTATCCTTGGATCCTGTGGTATATTTGGAAAGCGAGGAACGACAAGATCTTCAACGGGAAAGAAATTACCCCGGTAGATACTTTGATCCACGCCAAGATTGAAGCCGAAAGTTGGAAGATTGCAAACCAACCGGAAGAAGAAGAAGACAGATCAGACGAGGCTCCGCTCACTCCTTTGCTCCTGAGTCCTCTACCCGATACCCCGAGGTTCCCAATTTGTCAGGTTGATGCATCCTGGATAGGCATCTGCCTGGTTAGTGGGTTCGGGTGGAGTCTGAAAGAGGAAAGAGGTGGCGAGACTTTTGGCCTTCAAGGCTGTCGTAGAAGCCTATCGGCCCTTCATGCCGAATTAGAGAGCCTATTATGGGCTATGTCTTGCGTGAAAGATAGACAAATTTTATCTGTACACTTTCAAACCGATTGTTCGGATCTGATTAGCATGTCTGAATCGCCATCAGATTAGCCATCATTCTTATCAGAGTTAGAAGCCTTCCGCAATCTTCGGGAAACTTTTTTGGACTTCACTCTCTCCCATATTCCCAGAAGTTCAAATGTCCGAGCGGTTAATCTTGCAAAAGAAGCTCGAGCAAGAGGCTGTATTTTATTGAAGACGGTTTTCGGACCAACTCTTTAACGGGCCAAATATGATGTAATAGTTGGATTGTAGAAAAAAAAAATTAAGTTTAGTTAGTTTATCGATTTTATTCAAGGATACCGATTTTGTTTTGGTTTATATTTGCCATTGGGTCGTTAAACGCTGTAAACTCGGACTGGCCTGAATCCATTTAGTTGTGTAGGATTTCGATATTTAATTGTCGCCGTTAAAGTAAGTTTAGGGTTTTGTGAAAAAAAAATCCTTGTTCACGAGTTATAAAAATAGCTTCGTTTGCCTTGCACTTAGAGCACCACGAGACTTCCAATTGATTTGTTTATGTTAATTTGTTTTTCTTTTCTCTTTTTTTGGATTTGTTGTATTTTATTGTATAGTTTGTTATCTTCGTGGATTTTCTTCACTCCAAGATCGACTTGATTTTATATTGTTTTGTTTTAGAAATTTGAAATATGCTAGATCAGTTTCTATTTAATAAATTTGGATTTAACTTATCTGCAGTTGTTGTTGGGTTATAGGTTGTCTCGGTGCTGGTTCTATCTATAGTCGAGATGCCAAAAGGTAGAGTTTGTGCTTAGTTTTGTGGTTATGTTTGTTCGTTACACTGTATTTTGTGGTTATGTTTGTTTGTGTTTATGTTCGTAAGTTTATACGACTTTTTTGTTTTTATTTCACCAGTGCATCGTTATTGCTTTTCTGTTTTGTTTTTTTGTGGTTATGTTAGATTCTCAGCCGTCTGTGTTTTGTTTTTTGTTTTTTTTTAGGTGACGGTGTGGTCTAGACATGGTCGTTTGCAAGTTTTGTTTTTCTTTTATTTGAGAGTTTGGTTTTACCGATTAATCGGCTATGAGTTTCTCCAAATATATGATGTTGTTTATGTTTTTTTTTCGTAGTTGCTAATTGATTAGTTTTACATCTTCTTGGTTTATTGTAAACTTTTATGTTCTGCGATCTGTTTTTTTTGCTATTTTTGTTATCATCTTTTCTATATCTTTTTTTTTTTTAAATTATTTTGGCATAACTAATATGGGTTTTCTTGTTTGTATTTTCTTTCTTGGTTGTGGTGTTTACGAGTCTGATTTTTGGTTTGGCTGAGTGGTCTATTTGCATGTCATTTTTTTTGTATTGTTCTTAGTTAGGGTGTTTTATATTTGTTATTGATTATGTGTTGTGTGCGTTGATCGATACTTTCTGGTTGCTTTCCTTTTTTTTTTTTAATTTTGGTGATAGTGACCCTCGATTTTCATTTTTTTTTTTTTGCGTTCTTGGTTGTGCTTCGTTAATAATTGATCATTTACTTTTTTTTGTCTGTGTAGGTGGGTCTAGCTCTTTGTGTTTGTTTTATGTTTGCTTGCTAAGTATGTTTTATCTATTTTGATTGGATCTACATGTTTAAGGTTTATTCATCTCTGTTCAGTTTTGTACTAATATTGATGCTGATGAATTTATCCCAGTCCTGAGATGTGAGATTACTTACGTCTAGATCTTGATCACAACATGTCGTTTCAATTCCACTGTAAGACTTTTGACTTTTCTCTAATATCATTCATAATAGATTTTATATTTTTGTTGTGATTACAATAATTCGGGTTTGTAATTTGGATCTAATTAGATTTTCTTGTGTGTTTGATTTTTTAAAAACAGGTGTGGACTCGGTAGCCAGGTCAGAGATCTTTTCCAGACTACGATAAAAATCAGGTACAAATTCAGGTTCGGATTCTCTTTGTTCACTGTTTGTATAGCAATTAATCCTTTTCACATAATCACAAGTAGAGGAGCAACGAGATCAGTTTTCGTAAATCTAATTCTGACGGGGCGATTTCTAGATGATTTTGCAGTTGAATCTGTAAACAAAATTGGTTGGTTGTTACGAAACTGATCCTGATTTAAAATTTGTGTGTGTGTGTGTTTGTGTTTTGGCCAGTCTGGGTTTTGGATTGTTTGAGGAAAAGATGAGAGCATAGAGCTGGAATGCATCGTTACAATTTGGGATCGGCTGTATATCGGCCGGGTTTAGTGAATATCTTGGTGAGAGAAGCAGTGGCTTTATTAGAAGAGAAAAGAAAGATGAAAGCAATGAACAAAATGGGACAGAGCGGGAAGCTGTGGAAGTGGAAGAGAACTAGCTAGAGAAGTTACCATCAATGGCTGTTTCAGTTTAAATGGAAATGGCATAAACCATGGAAACTCTCTTAGTGAATAAAGCATGACGATGAGACCGTGGAAACTATGCTCTTCATGTCTAAGACTCATGATGATGATGATGATCACCCGTGGAATTGACACTGAAATTTTTCAAGGTGCTTATAACGTTGTACTTAGGTTGATCCGTAAAATATCTGTATATACACGAGCCTTTTTTTCTTTTCTTTTTTTTTTGTTAATAGATTAAGAGTTTTTCTGTTTGTGTGCACAGTCTAAGAACATTATAATACATTTTATACACAAATTCTGTTGATGTATCCTTATGATTGAGTTGCACACTAATTATTGAAAGTTTTCTGAATTTCCTTTTAACTATGGTGGAATTATGTAAACTCTATACAAAGTTAGAGACATTCTTCCACAAATGGCAAAGAGAGTAAAAAAACCAACGACTTCTTTCTGTAAGGGACAATTAAAACAAACTAACATCTTGTTTGAAAATATTATATCGTAAAAATAGTGTGGTGGATCTAAAGTCAAAAAAGAACTATTTTTGCGAACAACAACTTTTTATGTACACACATAAAGTCATAAACTACCACAACAATCTGGTGTATCTAATTGATAGTTAATGTATTCGTGACCTTGGTGTTTTTTCTAGATGGAATCTAGATAGCGGTGAACGAAAGATAAATTATAAGATTAAAGAAGAAAAAGTAGTGGAAGGTGAAGAATAAACATAAGAAGAAGTAGAAAACAATTTGATAGAACACGAAGGCATAAAACGGAAAGGAAGAAGAAGAGAAAGAGTACCTGAAAGCAAATGTAGAAACATAAGTTTGGAAGAAGAGAAAAAGAAGAAAATGGAAAAGCTGAATACAAGACATGTACCGAAAAAAAATTAGAAAAAATGACGACGATTAAGAAGAACAAGTAGAACCCACAAACGGTGAAAAAAAGTAAAATATGAGGAAGATAAAACCCAAAAGATAAAGGGAAAAGTCGAAGAAGACGAAACCAATAAAAATTATTCAAAAAAAATGAGGAAAAAGGACGAAGATAGAAAGAAAAAATAAACCGTAAAATTCTTAAATCATTCATGCTGGCATATACCTTGTGTTTGGTTTAAAGATTAATCATATATAGTACAGCAAAAACCTGTTTAAGCTTTGAGGTCATAAATTAGGAAGAGAGAGAGGAAGAGAGAGAGAGAGAGAGAGAGAGAGAGAGAGAGAGAGAGAGAGAGTCTTCAAGTACATCTAATTGATCAATAAAAGTATCAGTTTGTGTCATACATATTTCTGATTTGTGTTTGAGATGGTTGACAAAGAAGTTAAGAACTGGTTAGGAGGAGAGACATAAAGTACCAAAGGGATTGTTTACCTACGTTCTGATACCATAGTTTCGTGCAAGAATAATAAGAACCAACAAGAACGAGAGAAAAGTTACCAAATATATTGTTTACCTATGCTCTAATATCAAAGAAAAAATTGGCAATGACCTTCAAAACATATCAATGTATGATCAAAGAAACTACGGAGATATTGAATTCAAAAATGTTAAATAGTTACCAAACCTTGTTTGAAATACTGGAGGAAAAGCAGGAAAAACTACAAGGAAACAGTGGTTAACACATTGAAGATGTTTTTGGCAAAGAAATGTGTGATTTATATAACAAGGAAAAAGAAGAGATGATGAAGAAGCTTGAAAGTAAAGTATGAGAACAAGAGATATGAGGAGAAGTTAAATGAGACAAGACTAAACATATCTATTGTGGAAATAATATTTCATGAAGGAGAAAAAGAATATATTGGAGATTCTTGAGGAAAACGTAAGGGAGATCTAAATTAGGAATATAGAGAAAGATATAATGACACAGAGAGGGAAAGAGAGTTAAAGCCTTTAAAGACATGTAATTGATCAATAGTTTATACTATTAGTTCTTCTCTTCCGTGTTTCTGATTTCTTTTTAATATGGTTGACAAGGAAGTTAAGAATCGGCCAGAAAGAGAGAGAAAACCTACTTAAAAGGGATTGTTTGCCAAAGCTCTAATGTCATGGTTTCATGCATGTTCATGCGGGAATTATAAAGATCACAAAGACAAAAGCTACAGGATTGGTTACCTGCGTCCTAATAACAAAGACGAAAATTGCAATGACCCTTGAAACATATTGATATATGATCAAAAATATATCAAAAGAAATTGAATTAGATAATACAAAACTGGTGCCAGATCCTGTTGAAATGCTGGAGGAAAAAATACATAAGCTACGAGGAAACAATGGTAAGAACGATAAAGATGTTTAGACGGTGAAGAAATGTATGAATTAAATGAAAAAGGAGAAGAAAGATATGGCAAAGAAGTTGTTTGAAGGTAAACTAAGAGAATAAAAGAGAGTAGGATAACAAAACAAAATTAAACATATCTATTGTGGAAATTATAATTTATGAAGAAAAATAAAAACAATATGTTGGAGATTCTCGAGGAAGAATGTAAGATCCAAATTAGGAATCTAGAGTGATAGAAAGAGAAGGAGAGAGAGAGTTGAAAGACATGTAATTAATCAATATTCTATCATTATTAGTTTGTCTCTTACGTGTTTTTGATTTCTATTTAATACAATTGACAAAAAGTTAAAGCCTTCAAGTAAATGTAAGTGTACATAGATAAGAAACCGTCAGAAGGAGAGACAAAAGCTATCAAACGGATTGTTTACCTATGCTCTAATACCATAATTTCGTCCATGTGCTTGCAAGAAAAATAAGAATTGACAAAAGACGAGGCTACCAAATGAATTAATTACCTATACTCTGATACAAAAGAAGAAAATGGCAATGACCCTCTAAACATATCAATGTATAATCAAAAAAATAAAGACTTATTGAATTAAATAATGTTAAACTGGTACCAAACCATGTTTGAAATGCTGAAGAAAAAAACACAAAACCTACAAGGAAATTATGGTTAGAACAAGGAAGATGTTTTGATAGCATAAAAATGTATGATCGATATGAAGAATGAGAACTGAGAAGGAAGAGGTATCGAAGATGCTAGAAAGTAAACGAAAATAACAAAATAAGGGAAGAGAAGTTGAAGGAGACAAAACTAAACCTATTTATTGTAGAAATTATGTATTCTCGGAAAAAAAAAGAAGAGAGATCTAGATTAGGAATCTAGAGAGAAACTTAAAACCTTCAATGACATATAAGTACTGATCAATATTTTATCAATGTTAGTTGGTTGGTCTTCTAAATTCTGTTTAATATTGTTGATAAGGAAGTAAAAACCTTCATGTACATGTAAGTAAGTGTAATAGGTGGAGTTTAATAAATTTTAAATATGTAATTTTAATCATATTTTATATTATTGTAAATTTATATTCAGTTTAGTCTTTATGTACATGTAAGTGTAATAGATAGAATTTGATAAGTTTTAAATATGTAATTTTCATCACATTTTACATTATTGTTACTTTATATTCGGTTTAGTTCCAGTAATAAATTCAATTGTCAAAAGTTTTTAAATTACATTTTTAAAACTTTTCGGCCCGCGCTTTGCGCGGGCTAATCACCTAGTTTTAGAAATGAAACCACTATATATTTAGGCTCTGATTGGCAATTAAACTCTTAAAACTGTAGAGACTTTAGAGAAAATTAAAAGTCTTAAAAATCATTAATTAACCAATCAGACTTTAGTGAATTAACAATTTTTAAAGTAAAAAAACTGTTCCTAAATTTTTTCGCAGCTTTCTCTTTCGATTTTTTCACGTAATCCACACTTAAGTTCTAAAAACCTAAATATGTGGCTTTTATTTTTTTCTAAAGTCACAGCCATTATTTTACAGCCAAAATTCTTTATATTCTTTACAGTTACAGTCAAAAATTAAAATCTACAACCACAGTCCTTCCCAATCAGACCCTTAGCATCTCTAAGTTTATAGGGTTTTGATTGGTAACCATAGCAATCACGCATTTGTCTTTTTTTTTTTTCCAATTGAAGGAGGCCATGGAAAAATTTTCATCGAAGGAAACCATAACAATCACACATTTGGCTTGTCTTTTTAGTCATGAGTTCATTACTGAAAAGATCGAGAAAGATGATCAAAGTGAAACACAATAACACATTACAAGAACCTATTTTATGTATACTAGATTTTTAATCCGCGCGTTGCGCGGAATTTTATTTTTAAATAGTTAATTCATTATATTTATATTTTTACTGTTTTTGATTTTATTAGACTTATTTTCTATTTTTATATTATCATAGTTTGTTATTTTTTTGGTCTTCTTTCTCATCTTCAACATTTTTGTCCTCGTATTTTTATAAATTCTTCTTTATCAGTTTTGTGTTCTTCTTTTTCTTCTTTATTTTTCTTTTTTTCATCTTCGTCTTCATTTTCTTCGATTTCTATTTCTTTTTTTTCATTTTCTTTCTATTGTCAACAGTCTAAATACCTAGAACGGTTCAACTTCTTTTTATTTTTATTTTTTTCGATATTTTTTTAATCTTTTTCTGATTTTGTTTTGTCTCTTATTTTTACTTAGCTCGTGTATGTATTCTTCTTCTTTTATTTTGTCTCCATCTACATATTTTTTTTCTTCTTCTTTTTTCTGATTTTGATTTTCTTTCTTTTTCATCGTCTATGATTTTCATTTTCATCCTCGTCTTTTTCTTTAACTATGTCTTTTTACTGTTTTCCCCAATTTTTACTCTTCTTCTTCTAAATAAAAAGTAATAATTATAAACAATGTGTGAAATTAATTAAGTCATTAAATTAGTGTTAGTGTTTTTCTTTTATTATTAAATGAAAAGAATAATTTTTTAAAATGTGTGAATTAATTAAGTCATTAATTTTAGTTTTGTTATTCTATGCTGATGTGGATATTCTAGATGGAGAGAAAACTCTCCTATTATATAATAGATTCTACTTTATGATTTACCCTTGCGCTGCGACTTTGGTTTGGAAAATTCGGTTTGGGTTGCTCACGTAGTTCAGTTTGAGAAGATTCTACTGAAGTAACCAACCTAAACTACTATTCGGTTTGTTTTGGGTACTTAAGTTATTTTACTAAATTGAACCAAAATCTTCAGTTTTTCTTTATTTTTTTTCAAATTTGGTTAAAATCAGGTAAATTCGGTGATATTCGGTTTTTTGGTTCAAAATTTATAAGGGGTTTTTTGGGTGTGTCTTAGTAGGATTTGGTATATGTCCATTAGGGGAAAAAATACGGTTAACCTATTGGTTCATTATCCAAACCTAACCGAGCCGATAACCAAATTATTTTGTAAAATGATACCGATTGGTTTAACCTAAGTAATCGAGCCAAAACCAAAAATCGAAAGCCTTGGTTTGGTTCGGTTCAGTTCAGTAACTTTGGTTGGGTAAATATTGCAGGAGCGTCCCAAAATAGCAAATGTCCAAAAAAATTTAAAGAAAATATAGCAAAAACACTAAAAATAAACATTCAATCAAAACAGAAGATATAATAAAACAAATGTTTTGAGAACAACAGATTTTCACTGTGTTTGCCATTTTCTTCTCATCTCCTAAAAGGAGGAAGCTCAGGGAGATGGGAAGAAAAATATGGTGGTTGTTTATGAACAACAATATAACAAACATCAAAACTTTTACACGGTACCAAGTTAAAGAAGATGAAGCTGCAATTATCTTCCCCAAAGATCCTATATGGTTCAAGCCATGGATGGTTCCCATGATGATGCTTTTTGTTTTCTTTATCTTTGCTGTTATAGGAATCTGTCGACGATGTCTAAGTTGTCGTCGTGGAGAAAATTCCCCCAGCATTCATCCTATCTCCCATACAACCTAATTTGTTTAGATTTCTTCTTTCTATTAAATGTAAATTTGGTTTTGGTGTAATGTAAATTATACAGTTTCGCCATATGTTTCCTAACCACTGTGATCTAATGAAAGATAAAAGCAATATGAAATAAATTAAGGATGAACGATGAGGAAAAAGAACAGTTAAAGTGGAACAAGAACTAGATTGCAAAAATGAGAGAATAAACAAAGACTCAGTCTCATTTAAAATTTGAAACAATATGTGCAGAAAAATGGTAACAAAAAATTCTGAAGTCAACAAAAATTTATCAATTAAAATATGGGATATAACCAACTACGTTTGACTCATCATCATATAATCCAGTTATTTATTTAGGATGAGCTATAGTATTAGAGTATCTTCATTGGTGAGATAATCTAAGGGATGTTTGATTCTTGTGAGCTCATGAGAAGCTAAAAATTCATCTTGGAAAAGGCCTTTGAGCGGTGTATCTCTCTCCCAAAAGAAAACCTAGCCGCCTCCTTTCTCTTCTGGTTTCTTCACCTCTCCAGCCATCGGCGCACCTTCCGGTGCCGTGAGAGGGCCTCTTCCCTTCTTTTTGCCCTGCTCCTTTGTCTCGTGTTTAGGTTCATGCCAGTTTCAAGCGGAGGCGTGTTTGCCTCTCCGGTATAGCAGCAGCAAGAAGTCGATGGTGGACGGCGGAAACCAGCCGCAGATCCAGATCTGATGAGGACTATGGTTATTGTCTAAGTAAATCCGATAAGAAAATGAAACACCAATGATATATTTGTAAACCTCTTATACAAAACTCCTAGCCAAGATTTGAAAAACCAGTTAAACTGTAAGAATAAACACTGAGTTTTCAAGAGAAATATATATATATGAAATCCAAATAATGATACACATCAGGACTGGTAATTTGAGCTAGAGAACCATCAAGATACAAGACATTCGCATATCGAATATAAAAAACAAAAATAGACGAACAAAGATTATTTGTAAGTCCAGCTTACAAACTAATCACTACAAGAAAACATGTCGAAAACCTACGGAAAACATCGTCAGAAAATCATTAGAAAATGTCTTTTTTTACCAAATTCCTATGAAATTTTGTCATAGGAAATCGGCCGTCGGAAATTATAAAAGGTAAGAAAATAGTAGGAAATTTCCTACGAAAATGTTGGTAGGACAATTTTCCTACGGAAATTTTAGTAGAACTTTCCTACCAAATTACAACCATTTTCTATCGATTAATGTTCTTTCCAATTTTCTACGAAACATTACTTACCTATTTCCGACGATTGTTTTATTAATCTTTTACTATCAATTTCCTACCACTTTTTTACCAATATAATTTTATAAAATCAAATGTTAAATTAATATCAGAAATTGAATTTAAATTAAAATAGAAATTAATTATAAATTTGATTAATAAAATATATACAAAAAACAAAATCAGTTCTCTAATTACTATGAGCCTAAAAATTTGACTAAGTAATTATTAACTAGAGGGAGAGAAGGTGAAGACTCTTATTTATAGAGCAACTTCTTCACCTAAATTATCTTAGATTGTTGATGTGGGACAAATAAAAAAACATAATTTCCTACGAAATTTTTACGATTTTTCTACAAACAATGTTTCGAAGGAAATCCGTAGAAAAACTTAATTTTGCTCTATTTATAGTGCAGTTTCTTCATCTAAATTCTTAACTTTTCAATGTGGGACAAACAAAAAGACATATTTTTCCTACAAAATTTCTACGGTTTTTTTACAAACAATATTTCTTAGGAAATCCATAGGACAATTTCCTACGAAATTTCCACCAGTGTAATAGTCAATTGAGTCCTACAACTTTCCTACCAAATTTTGACCGTATTTTCTACGAATATAGATTTGGTAGGTTATTGGTTGGATATATCCTACCACTTTTTGATATTTTGTTTCGTAGAAAATTCCTTACCTATTTCCTACCACTTTTTTCCGTCATAATTGTGTAAGAAATTGGTGAAAAATATTCCTACCAAATGTTTTCGTACGAATTTTCGTAAGAATATAACATGTTTTCTTGTAGTGAATGTGATTCTCAAGCAAAACTATTTCTTATCAATTCAAGATTTAAGTGATTCTAATTTACAACCACGTCCATGATATAGTGGAAGAACAAAACCAACACTTGACCAATCTCATTTTGTCTCCTCCTAAACAATTCTATAAGATGAAGAATCACTAAATAAACAAAAAAAAACAAACTTATGACATAAAACTGAAATTAATACTCACACAAATATACATGTTTCTGGCTGGAAAGACAATACTAAAATTTCTCCCAAATTCAAAAATCCAATCACAGAAAAACAAAATCTCAAAAGTCAATAAAAAGCCCACGAAAGCTGAATCAAATAAAAAATAAAGCCCAATTTGACACCTCTAGTGAGTTTTGGCTCCGGTTTCATGGTGGATTGGTTTCTCGTCAGTGGTGGCAGTCAGCATTGCCAATGGTCGCAGATTTGCGATTAGGGTTTCCCAATTCTGGTTTGTTATGATTTAGGCCTTTGGTTCTGATTTTTTGGGTTTCGGATAGGGCCTCTTCCTTGTTTTTTTTTTCTTTCTTCGTATGGCTTTTTGTTTTTTAAAAACATCTGCTTTATGTTTTGTAATTGAAAAAAAATTTTAAATATGAAAACTCTTTAACAAAACAAAAAAGAGATACAAGATATCTCAAAAATATAATAGTAATACTTTGAGAAATTTTTTTTTTTTGAGAACTCCATCACAAATTTTTACCTCCATTGGTGAGATACCCACTAAAGTATCTTATCTGTATAATATTATTAATTTTGTAAAGATTTATATTTTAGTGTAGTTAATATTAAAAACTTAAATATTATCTTAAATCAAAAAATCTTTTATTTTTTTTTGTTTTTAAAGTACATCTTAAATATATTTATATTAATAATATTAATAATATTAACACAATTAAGCAATACAATACATTATAAATGATATAATAAAAATTTATATTTTCTTAAATAACACAATTAAGCAAAAAATTATATTAACGTAAACTTATAAATAAACACTAAAATTGCTAGAAAACATATACATATAAAACCAAGATTACTTATATGGATTTATAAGATTAATTATAAGAGTTTATAAGATTACTTATAAGTGTTTATAAGAGTATAATTATTTTATATTGCCTTGTTAAAATGTCTATATTGGATTGATTTGTCATTGCCTTGTAATGTTAAGTTTATTTTACATATAATATTACTAATTTTATATAATTTTCTATTTAATCATAAGGTTAAGTTATGTAATTCTATGTTTAATTATGTTATTTAATAATGTAACTTTCTAATTATATTATTTATGATTTATTACATTATTAATAGTATTTAATTATATTAATTAAAAAATTACTAATTTACATTATATAACTTTAATTAATATAAATTAAAAATTATTTTAATATAAAAATTAATCTTATGTTTAATGGATATTGATAGATAGATAATTTCATTTTATGATTTATAAAATTATAAAAATTAAAATGTAGTAACATTTAATCTATTTACTTGTATTTTATATATAAAATTTATATAAAAAGCATGAACCATTTAGAGACTGACATGTGTCTCATGAGACGGGTTCTCAAGTGGTTCTAAAGAGTTCACATTTGAGAACCAATTCTCATCTTTTTTTTTTTTGAATTATATATATATATATATATATATATATTTTAATAGCTTATAAAGGTGAGATATCTATTGAGATACCCTCAGTGACGATGCTTTTACAAATTTTGAACACCACAATTGGATTTTCAATTTTTTCTATGTATTATGCTAGTGACGAAACAAAAATTCCAAACAAAAATTCAAACAAAAAAAAAGAAACCTTTTTGGTATAGATTTAGTTTATTAACCTTTTTTCCTCTCTCTCTCTTCCCTCCTCGAGTTTTCCGCCTAAGTTCTCCGATCTAAATCTGTTTCTGGCACATGTGGCTCCCAAAGCACCGGCGCCGGCCCTCTCCTCCTCTTCCACCTATTTATTCCAGGTCCAGTTACAGATCTGTCTCCCACTGGTTTTTGGATGTACGACAGTGGGTTTTCTCTCGACGGTGGTCCTCGTTTTGACGGCAGCGCAGTCTCAGTGGTGTCGTTGGGTTTGTGGTGGTAGAAGTGTGCCTCCCTTCTGTGTGGTTGGTGCTCTCTCTGCTTGCCGTTCCTGATGTTGGTGCTTCTCCCTCTTGCTTTCTCTCCGGTTTTCTCCTTGCCGGTGGGTTTTCTCGGCTTCTATTTAGAGCTTCTCTCGCCTGCTCGGCGTGCCTCCGACTTGTTTTGGTGGTGTGGTGGTGGAAGTTGGCCATCTCCACCGGGACTTGGTCCTCCTCATCTCTGTTTCAGATCTTCTTTTTTTGAGGTGGTGGAGTGGCGGTATTCGTAGATCTAAAGCCCCATCTCCACGCTGCAGCGTTTTTTGGCCTAGAGGATGGGCTCTTTCGCCGTCAATTGTTGTTCAGGGTTCTTTGATCTAGTGGCAAGCCTGGGGTGGTGGTTTTCGTCTTCTGTCGGTGCGTGCATCTCCTCCGACAGTGTTTCTCGGCGGTGGTTCTAGGCAGGTGGCTCGTCGGTTTCTTCCCTCAGCTCATTTTTGCGGCGAAGGCCCATGCCGTCTTCCATTGGTGGCCTGGGTTTCTTGTCGGTGTGTGTTCCCGGCTTGGTTTGGCAGCTTCATGTTCAGGTTTGGGTTTCGTTTAGTGTTGGCTCCGGTTGTGGTCTGGTGTAGATGGTTGAGCATTTCAGAGCAATGTTTGTTGAGGCGCCAAGTGGTTGTTACAGCTAGTTTGTAACTGTGGGGTTGGTCCTATTGAGAGCATCAGTTTTCAAGGGAAGGATTGTCGGAGGCGAATTTTCCGATCGCCCCATCGACTCCAGCCGGTTGCGGATAGTCCGTAATGCCATCCGGAGATCGCATCAGTTTTAGGAGAAGCTGTAGGCATCTCTTTCATGAGGTTTGGGGACGTCCTCGGGAGGAGGCTCGTGGAAACTATGGCGGAAACTCTAATTCTTTGAGCTGCAGAAAAAAGGGATAGTCCGCGCTTCTGCGTGTGATTACTGCTTTCTCATCCGGTTATGTTTTGGTTTTATTTTCTTTCACTCGCTTTTCACCTTCTTAATCTTTACTGTGGTTATGTTGTTCTATGTTGTTTATTTATTTGTTTGTACTTTATTTTCGGTTAATTTGCTACCTTTGTTGTATCCCTGTAACCGCTGTGGCAATTGAAAATGGTATAAAACTTAACAGTTTTACCCAAAACCAAAAAAAAATTCAAACTCATATAGAGGTTTTACATTATTTTAAACTAAACATTCAAATGAATTTGTATTATTTCAGATCTTGATATGGCTTCCTAGTTAAACAAGCTATAAACCTATTTTTTTTAAGGTGTATGTATTTTTCATTGCATTTAAAATTAAATATGTTAAAGCATTGCTTGAATAATATACAAATTTAACTTTTGATTGAACTATAAATCTTCAAAATCAATGGTTAAAATAATCCAAGAGGATGGAGCATGGTTGGATTTCAAAATCAAGTAAATTCATGAATCCAATAAAATCTTCTTGTAATTGAGAATTCGATTCCCGTTTTCTCACTTTCCATTGTAGTATAAGATATAAATTATCTTTATGAGAAAAAGAGTTGTCCACCTCTAATCCTCTATATATTTTATACAGGCAGCCATTGTAATGGTTTTTTTTAGTTTTATAGGTCACTAACTGTCATTTGATAGTAACAACCTAACGACTTCTCAATTACCCTAATAAAAACAAGTATTTTTTCTTCAATTTAAAAATTAAGAATCTAGTAAACATAATTTAGCTTTGCATTGCATGAGTATCCTCCAACATATTTGATTTATAATATTTCCACTGTTCACCAGGTTTACAATATCTTAAATTAATCCATTATTTGTAATAAAGCATCATTGCTTAATTCTCAGCAGCAGAGAGTGTTTTAGGTTTTATAATAGTTGAAAATGTCTAAAGTAGCGAGTGCATAAGAAGTTGCGTATACGTCCAAAGAAAACCGAGAAAACATGGAGAAGATGTCCACTACATGTTTGTTTGATCTCTGACTATGAATCCCATTTGTCCACTAAGAATCCCATTTTTCCACTAAGAATCCCATCTGTCCACTAATTTTTTTTTCCTTTATATATATCATTGGGTAACGAGAATTAGAATTAGCATAAGTCCAAATTGAAAGAAAAAAAAAGAATATAAAGAAAATGAGAATGAATGTGGACACAGACAGTGTTTTAGTGCCATTGAGTTTGTTCATAGCAGTAGGATACCATGTCTTCCTCTGGAACTCCTTCAAGCACAATCCTTCTCGTACTTCTCTTGGCATTGATTCCTCTAAACGCAAATCTTGGTTCCGTGACATTAAAGAGGTTCAATTAATTCTTCATCTTTCTTTTTCTTTGTTTGGAATCTTGTTTACGTTTGGTTTTGCGTTTACATGTTATATATATATTTTTTTCAAGTGAAAGTAAAACTTTAAGGAGACAATTATTTCTTTACGTTTGCACTCAAAATGTATAAAAGATTATTGAAATGTAAACACCGTTATAGAAAAAAAATGTAGACGTAAACACAAATATACCCGTCTATTTTTACATTTAGGATATAGAACTATCCTTTGTAAACTCATTTTTTCTCTAGACTGAATAGTCAATAGATGAGTGGAGTTTTAACTTGATTGTGTGGTTCATACCACAAAAACTTAAGTGTGTGGTTGAAAACAAGGAAAAAAAAATCCTGGTCTGAATTTTGGGCTTTCTAGAAAGAACCCACCAAACGACTTTTTTGTTTGTTGCAAATATACCCTTCACTCACCAAAAGTACATATAAAACCCAGGAAAATAAATTTAACCCGTAACAAATTACCCTTCACTCAATAATTTGTCACTGTCGTCAAGTTTTTACCCTTCACTCACTAATTTGTCACTGTCGTCAAGCTTTTAAAATTTTGATAAATTATATATTAAATCGAAACCCTCGAGACGAGGAGTCCAAATCTACTAGAAACTATAATGTATTTGACCGTAAATACTTTTCAAAGAAACATGGATTTGACTTGGTGGATTTGACTTGTATCTTTCTATGAGTTGAAGGTAAATCTGCAAAAAGTGTTATTTGGAAAGTTTTTTTTTTTTTTCAGAAAACCATTTCAATTTGTAAGAAAAAATCTTTAAGCGTTGTCACGAAATACTGTAGTTGGTATTTAATTTTTTTTTTTTTAATAAAAATCATTCATAGACATTTTTTGCATTTAAAACAGTTATATCTCTAATGTCTGCCGTTTTTTATTGTTATTTTTCTTCTTAATTTGTTGATGATCATAACGAAAACGCAGGGTGACGATAAGACTGGGATGTTGGCGGTTCAAAGCTTGAGAAACAAGAAAATGGTTACAATTCTCACCGCTTCAATCTCCATCCTTATATTGCTTTCTCTAGCTGCGGTTACCAACAACGCGTTCAAAGCGACCCACCTCTTCACAAACGGCAACGACATCGTTTTCGGCTCACGAAACCCTAAAATCTTCGTCCTCAAATATGCCACTGCCTCGCTGCTTCTTGCAGTGAGCTTCTTCTTCAGCTCACTTTCCGTGAGTTACTTGATGGACGCCAATTTCCTCATAAACGCAATTGCTAAGAAGCATGTAGGAGACTGCGACTGCGGTTATGAGTTGGCGACTGGGACAGTATCGTTTAGGGAATATACGAGGTTGGTGCTAGAGAGAGGTTTTTTTATGGCTATGGTTGGGAACAGAGTTATGTGCGTTTCTGTACCGCTTTTGCTTTGGATGTTTGGACCATTACCCGTGTTTGCGTCTTCAGTAGGTCTTGTTTGGGTGTTGTATCAGTTTGATTTTCCGTCCATGGCCAAAATATCTGTTTTTAAATGATAGAGAGATAGATTGAAGACAAAAAAAATGGTGGGTTATTGTTTACATTCATAATAATAATGAATAAGAGTTTGAAACGTACAAAATCATTATAAAAAATTTACAAAACCATCCGTGTTTGCTTGTGCATTTGCATGGTGAGTTTCAATGTTAATAATATAAAATATAACATTCCCATTTAGCATTGAGAGAGCTCTCTGGAGTTGTACTGTGCGTCCCAATTAAGTCACAGCCAGAGAAGAGCTCTTCGGGGAAGAAAACAAACGGTAGTCATTAGAGACAGAATAGTGGAAGAGGACAAATAGACAAGTTCTATATATATCTTGTAGATTTATCTGCTCTAACATAATTAAGACGTATGTCTATTAGAGTGGTGAGAGATATAGAATTGGAAGAATATATTGTTGCTCTCATATCTTTCTCAATATACATAGGAAACATATATATACAAGATGCAGATAATATCTAGAGTAATTACACAATATTGAGATAGTAGTGAGTCTAGTGACACACCTAGTTACAGGGATTGAATCAAGGACTAGAGGGATTGGATATCAAAGTAATTAATATAATTATTCTTTCCTTAATAATGTCTATCCAAATTCCGAGTGTTTTAGCCAAATTATATAACCTGTCCCTCTAGTTGGGCTCAATTACAGAGATAAATTATGTAGAAATCACCAGATCAAGATTTTGCAAAGGTTTCCACCACGTCGCTGATGAGCTGTTACAAAGGTTGGTCACTAATCCATCTCTTGAACATCACAGAGCACTCCTCTGGTTTATACACCATTGTGTGCCCACCGCCCTATAAATCAAACCCACAAAAAAAAAAAACTAAGAAACGATCATGTATAAAGAAGCTCTTCCAATTATGTAATTACAAAAAACGTAGACTTGCTTTCACAGTGGCAAATGTCATTTTATTGGCATAAGTCCTTGTGTATCTGCAAAGAAACAGATTGTGAGCCTATTTGGTGAGAATGACCGTAAGAGAATTCCAAAAAAATGTAAACAAAATGGTATAATACCCAGCGACTTGATTGTGAATCATCCATGGCCTCCAGTCATCAATAATGGAATAGTTGAGAGATCTTATCCAGTCTTGAGTTTCAAGGAAAGGGACGAACATGTCGTGATCACCACTGTTTCCCCAAAGAAACATCATGCCAAGAAAAGTTTATAAACCCTTAAATCCTTGACAGAAGATTAAAGAAGTTGTGGACCTGAAGATAAGAGATCGGTATCCTTGGATGCTGTTATTCTTATGGTATGGTACGCTGCTTCTAATGTCAATGTTGTAAGGTATTTCCCGATAACACCGTAACCATTCTCCTATACTCCCCTGAAAATCATTACCATCCATTTATTAAACATATCGTATATATAACGAGGCCTTTGTGTGTAAACCGAAAACCAACATCTGTGTATATATAGACTTCAAACATTCATTTGTGTACAATAGGATCTAGGACTTTAATTTGGTGGAGAAATAGAACGAGGTCTTAATTTTATGTACATATATATATATATATATTGCTATATGAAAGTTCCGAGTATCTAATATTAAACTTATCATCATGTATACCTTCTCCACTCCAAGGGCTCTGCGCACCCTCTCCTCATTGGCCCAACGGTTAGACAGCACAGACATGCGATGCTCAGATGGATTGCTTACATAGGGATCAGATGCGTTTACGTACTTTGGTCCTAGAATATAAGTTAAATCTAATCCAGAGACGCACTGCAAATAAGCAGAAAGTCTGAAATAGTGATCTTTCTTTCTATTCGTATTGTGTGATTTGTGTCAATATTTCAGAGTGCGTATTTTACCTTCTCAAATTCTTGAACGAGTTTCAAGCATCCTGTGTTAAGAGGATCCATTTTAACATAATAATTTCCTCTGCAGCTTCTCCTCAGCGACTTAAAAGAAGAATTTTTGAGTTAGTTTGTTAATTGCTTCATTGTGGTGACAAACAAAAACATCACATAGTACTCATACCTCAAAGAGTTCATCAGGGATCAAAGCCATTCCATGAGCAAATGGAATGCGCGAGTTATCATTGTTATCAAAATTTGTTAACGGATTTCCCAAAACATAACCCTGTTGTTTGGTGAGCGTAACTAGACTCTCAGTTCTCAATGTTCAACAAACTATATACAAGAAACAAGCGCGCAATACCGATGAACCTGAAGATTTATTTGAGGTTTGCAGCATAAACCGTTTCCTGAGATAAAAGTGAGATCAAGAAAAGAGACACAAAGAGAAGGGCTTGTATCATTACTGAAGTGAAAAAGAAAAAAAAACTTACCATTTGAGATTTCTTGAACTATAGCCGGAATGACTATACCAGAATAAGAATTTCCGGCCACATAGAAAGGATTCGAGAAAAACTCAGGATGCTTAGCTAGCCACTACACAAGAATAGCCAACAACAATAACAAAATCTCCAAATGTCTATGACACACAAATGCTTGAACCAGTTTGATTGAGTTTTCCTTTTACCTTACGAAGAAACTCATGGACCCGCTTAGCTGCTCTAGTGTCACTTGGCTTATCAGCAAGTGGATTTCTTGAGTAGGAGAAGCCAGTCCCAACAGGCTGATCCAAATAGATTATACTGGCCACCTGAGAAGAAGCAATCAACCAAAAACTTGAAGATGACTAAAGAGTTCTCTGTCATAAGAATACACTTGGTGTAACCTTAGTCCATGAATATGTAGTAGAGACCAAGGAAAGGGTATCTCCATCGTAGGACTCAACCTTGAAAGCAAGAGGCCCTGCATTGTTTCTCAAATTGAAAAATAAAAGTCATCTAGAAAACAAAAAAAGTGATGAAGATTTTAGATGTTACCATTCTCAAAAAGAAGGCCAGAGAGAGAAGAGCAGCCAGGTCCTCCGCTTAACCAGATAAGAAGAGGGTCTTCCTCTGGGTTGCTTTCTGATTTAATGAAGTAGTAGAACAACTGTTCCTCCTCTGCCTCACCAACACCAATGTACCTAAATGATTAAACTCCAAGGATCAAGAAGACAAAGAGAGTCATACATTATAAGATTAATACATATGGAAATGGGATGAAGAGAAACTGACCCGGTTTCGAGCTTGAAAGGAAGAGGGCCTTGAAAACCAGGAAGATATCTAATTGTAGATTTTGAATTAACATACTGAATCAACACAAGCGGAAGAAGAAGCAGAAGCAGCAACTTGAACCCCATTGTTTTCTTTTGAGTTTCTGAGTTAATGCCACGTTTAGGACGAGCGTAGGAGATGAATGCAGTGCAGCTGGCATGAATGAATTATTAATTTTAAAGATTATCGTGGGCCGCTTGCACTGGTGTGAATTCATTAGATTGAGAGAGACGGGGGAGTAGGCGAAGCTCTTTAATCAAAAACATTGTACTATTTGATAACATTGTATCAATTTTGGGGGGTCTACTCTTTTTTGTTGGTATATATTAATAGCATGTGATCATAATCGAGATATTGTGGACCAAATTAGAACAGATATCATATTTTGGGTGTTCAATTCAGATTTGATTTCGGTTAGTTAAACATAGCTACCAAATTAGAGCCATATCTACTTTGGTTTGGTTCGTTTATATATTTTTTGTTTTTTGTTTATTTAGTCTTTACATCAAAAATCGTAACCGGATTATCCGATTTCTTTGGTTTGATATAAAATATGTGAGTTTCAATTTAAATGCTTGAAAATCGGATTCACTAGAACATAGAAATAGTAATATCAATATTCTAAAATATAAACAGAGTATTTGTCTTTGCACTATCTAACTGTTGGGGAAACAAAATTAATAATGATGAAAACAAAGTACTTTATGTACAAATAAAAAACATATGTTATTTCTATTAAAATAGTAGAAAAAACTTCGGTATTCAATCTAGAATTTAGAAGGATTTCTATTAAAATCATAGATCCTATGTTATTCATAAAATAAAAATTTAAAAAGTCTTTTAAAATCCACTGTTATTGAACTACCGAAGTTTCTTAGTTAAAAAAAAAAAATCCCAATCTCATGGTTTTAGGAGATTTGATAAAATTTCAGAACTTACTTAATTCACTCATTTCATATAAAAATTTATTAAAACTTCAATTCTTCTAAATCCTGTCAAATAGATGTTACGTCCATGCTATGTGTGGATATTTTATTGATAAAAATTATATACAATAAATTATATTTATTAAGATATAAATTTTCTATATTTGTGTTTTAATAATATATTAAAAATATTATAGTATTAATTTAATAAATTTTATGCTAATTAGGAAGTTTTAATGGTTTTCTTTTGAATGTATATATGTCATATTTCAAAAACGTATTATTTGGTTGAACACATATAAGTTATTTAATATACCAAAACTAATTAAAAATATTACAAATTAATCTAATGCTACTTTTTAAATATAATATTGACATGATGATAAAATATTATACACCACTTTTTTAAATCAAGAAGATAATTTTTTTTCATCATTTTCACTTTTATTTTTTTGTCTTAAATATCATTTTCACTTTCATTCCAATTATATATGTGTTCTTTAAAGATAATAAAAAGTAATTAAAAATTAATATTTTTCTTCTCTTGTTTAACAAATACAAATTTTTCCTTTGTTATATTAATTTTAAAAACAAACTAATAAACATAACTCTTGCTTTGAGATTAATAAGAACTTTAAATTTTAAACTAAAACAATAGTTGAATATGAAATGAATAAAAAGCACACTATGTGAACTAATTAATTTTTGTCAATTAGTTGTATTAACTTTGAAATAATTTCTCAATGATAATACCCCATTTTTTCTACAAGAATGAAAACATTTTTATCATGTTCATTTTTATTCTTTTTATATCGATTTTTCAATTATTATTTTATATTTATTTATTTTTAATAATTTTTGATGATTATATTCAGTTTCTTCCTACTTAATTCTTACTTCTTATAATTATAATTAAATAGATAAAATCAATACAATTTAATTACATACAAATTTAGAAAAATGAATAACAAATTCAACAACTCAAAATTAAGAACTTCTACATTAATCTATTGCAATTCTAAGTCGAATCTACAATATATAATTATTTTAATCATTTTTGCATAATATATTATATGAGAATATGTGGAAACATGTTTTGCACATGAGTCAAAAATTTGTATGTAAATCATAATTACTATTGTTTAAAATTCTACATAAAAAACTTTAAAATCAAGTAACATATCAAGTAACTTTAACTTGTATAAGTAACATATTTTTTTTAACATAATAAGTTAAATTTGTAACTAAAACAGTGATAATGGAGATGTCAATATCATGTTAGTTTTTTTTAATGGAGATTTCTTTATTTTTAATTTATTTTCTTAACAATAATATTAGAATTTGAAATTTTTTTTAATTTTGATTTGATATATGCGAATAAAATTAAATATTTAATTACTGATGTGAACACCTTGAAAATTATATAGCTCTAGCTGTTATTCATAATAAAATATTTTAAATTAACAAATTTTCCTATTTTTTTATATTAACAATGCAATTTTATAATTTAGAAATTTTATTAATTTTAGTTATTCATGTGGACTAACAGAATTAAACTTTTTGAAAGCTTATGTGGATGTCTTTAGAGGCATATAACTTCAAATTTCTTTTTATAAATATATTTTTTTGTTAACAATACAATTTTAAAGTTGGAAAATTTTCTTAATTTTAAATATTAATGTGGACCAATATAATTAAATCTTTAAATTCTATATGGACACCTTTAAAGGAATATACCTTCAATTTTATTGGTAATATATTTTTTTCTTAATTTTAAATACTAATGTGGACCAATAGAATTGATCATTTAAATCATATGTCAATATTCTTAGAGGCATATAGTTTCAACTTTTATTAGTAATAAAATATATTTTTATAGATAATAAATTAAATTTTTTACTAAAACAGTGATGATAAAAATTTTAAAATCATGTTGATTTTTTCAACAAAATCATGTTGATTTTTTTTTGTTGTTAATGGATATTTCTTTATTTTAATTTTTTTTTAACAAATATTAAAATTTGGAAATTTTTTTTTAATTTTGAATTTTGATATATACAAATATAAATTGAATGTTTAATGCTGATGTAGACGCCTTGAAAAGAATATAATTATAACTGTTAATAATAATAATTTTCCTATATTTGTTTTGTATTAACACTGTAATTCTATAATTTGGAAACTTTCTTATCTTTAATTATTGATGTGGACTAATATAATTGATATTTTAAATTTTATGTGATATTTTTTTAGAGGCATATAGCTTCAACTTTAATTTCTATAAATATTTTATTTTTTGTTAATACAATTTTAAAATTTGGTAATTTTCTTGGTAGCATTTAAACGTTCAATTTTAATACAATTTGTCTCAAACCCCAAGACATATGACCCCCAACATATCGTGGTAGTTCTTTGAATAAAATTAAAATGTGGTTAGTCTAAATTGACTTTAGCATTAATCTCTATAATAATTAGAAAAGGAGCTGACGAAACAGAATAGAACCAAAAACGAATTGAACAACTCGAACAAAAAAGAACCATAATCATGAACAGAGAAAACCAAAACCCAAACGAAGTTATGTTTTTCCAATGATATTGTCTTCACGTAAGCCGAGACAAAAGATTGTGATGTAGTCCAATGTTAAGGCCATTGTGAGCAAGAGGTGCATACATCCATAGATCATCTGAATTCAGAGCTACATTACAACATTGCCAAAAACAAGAAAGATCAAATCATTTTGGTTAGGATAGATGTTATAAACAGAATTGAGAAGATAGTTTTACATGATTTCTTGGATGACAAGAAACGACCACGACTGAAAAAATCATTACCTTGATTTGTAGCTGCAGGAACTTCACGTAATGGACGGCTTCTTCAAGCATCGTGCTTATATCAACCTTCGTCCCGTTGGGAACTAGCCTTTGCAATATCTTTAGCCTATCATTTATCCTCTCTCTTCGTTTCTGCACCATTTTTCAACATTTAGTTACGCAAAACTCAACGACTCAAACCAGAAATAAAAGGATTTGTATAGTTCTATAGATTACCCGAGCATATAGGCTCTGAGGATCGGTAGCAATCCCTTTGTTGGGTTTTCCTTTGACTTTCAGGGTTTCTGATGTGTTAGTATCTAAACCTAAACCTTTCTCATCATCTGATGTATTGAAACTGTTTAGGCTCTGACCATCTCTCCAAGTAGTCTTAGGCTCGGTTACCCAATTGCTTTCTGGCCTTATCTTTTGCTTCTTCCTAGGTTTCACTAGCTCCTACTTTTCGTTAACCATTATCATTAGTTCATTGATATTTCACGGTAACAAATAAATTGGAAGATTAACATTTTTTACTTGGACTTACTTGTCTTGAGTCAACATAGAGGTTCGTCTGGTTACTGGAACCTTCTAGAACGGCCGGATAGTTCCCTTGCAGAATTGTGGCAAATGAGAATAAATCATTAGAAGAGACGACATCAATCTCATGATGATGTTGATCGTTGTAGAAGCTCGAGCCATCAGAGGAACATTGATCAAAGTTGAACATCCCCAAAAGAGACTCCAATTCACCATCTACAAAATCTTGATTCTCCATAGCTAACGTTTCAGTTCTTTACCTTTTTTTCTGTTCTTATGCGTGGATCTCTACCTTTATTTATAGCAGTGTGCCAGCAAATATTGGAGTCACTTGAGGAGAATAGAGGAATATAATATTCAATTATAAAATCATAGGTTTTTAATCTTCCATCATTGTTTCTTGAACAAGTCTTAATTTTCTCAACTCACCATGCGATTAGTCAACTTGTGGTGTTAACCAATTCCAAGTTTAGACAGATTTAAGGAGGAATGCCACTCCATTGCATGACGAGCACATTAATGTTGATACATTATCTATAGAAGAATTCATGTTTTTCAATACATGTTAAACATATTTGATGTGTGCAAGATAACATAGGAGAGTAAAAAAAAAGAATATATGGAGCATCGTCAACGCAGGATGTGTATAAAAATGTCTTGTGACATTGAACTTGTTTTGTACTGTAAGTTTTCTCCCCTTTTTGGGAAAATAAAAAAGTCAATGAATATAATCCAGTTGGAAGCTGCTTTCCGCGAAACATGGATGATCTTACATTTGATAGATTTCTTACATTCTCATTAAAAGACTTTTTCTTTTGTTAAAAGAAAAAACGTTGAGCCGAAATATTTCATATTTACATTTATATTTCCCACCTCAATTACCAAATATATGTGTATTTATAGATCTTATGAATCGGAAAGTCTTATAGTAAATATAAATAAATAGGAATACACTCAATACTCAATTTTCCCACTTCTAAAAAGGTGTCTTAACCTTTTAGAACATATTTGTAATGCTTTTCTTTGGAGTGTGTAAAACCTAGCCCAAGGAAACTTATGAAATGTAGTACACAAATGTTCTATGAACTATACTTTTTATTAGAAATCACTTAAACGATTTTTACAAATTTGTTTAAACAAAATAACAAGACGAAGCCCACTGCTTCTCGACACTGACCAATTTCTAATCCATCCAAGTAGTTCGCAACATACTTGTGTTACACTTTGAATTCACTCACCAAAAACCCTAGATTTTTCTCTCTAAGCTTGTAGTGAATATTTCTCTCGTGAACGGCCAACCGGATTATGCAGCCTTCACTCCAATATATATCACATCTCACAAAGAACATGTGAATATACACTTTCTAAGATGTTTAGATCTTTAAGATCTTGCATACCAAACTCCAAAGATACTCCTTGAAATACATGGAACTTTCCTTCAGAATTTCCACCAATAGTTGCCACGTCATTCTTCTTCAAATAATCCAACTCAGCACTCCTGCACTCTTGAATTTCTTCATGTCTCTCTGTGTAACACACGACCCTTCTTGTGTTGATCGTTAAGCTCCACTTTCTTGAACTTACATTCTCCCCTTTTTTGTCTGAATATGAGAGCTCAAGCTTCCTGTATCAACCAAAGATATGACAGACACATCCAAAAGAAATATCCAGAAAATTAGATAGAATAACTAAAGACATGTCATTTCAAATTGCATCACCCATTTCAAGTTTTACACAAGAAAACAAAGATAGAAAGGCCGATAATGAGTAGTCTGAAACAACAGTGACAAGACCAAAAAAAAAAACTGATCACTACGATGTCTTGTCACAGAACCATCAAGAGCCGATATCTTCAGTCATCTTCATTTGGCTCCCCCTCAACCTCGGAACCACCAGGACCATATTCTCCCCCTGCTTGAGTGTATATTCAGATAAAAACACAAGGAAACCAAAACGGAGAAGAGGAATCAGAGAAAAAAAAAACTTACCTCGAAGGCGAATCTGAATTCGCTTAAGCCAATGAGACAGCTGTTCCAGATCAGCTTCCAGAGATGGAAGAGGAGAACACTCATCCTCACCAGAACCTTTCCCAGCCTTAGAGTTAAGAGTGATTTTTATCGAAAACCCATGAAGCTCAGAATCGGCACTGTGCTGAGGGACCTCATGCTGGAATTTTAGGAGCTGATAGATGAGGTTTGGAAAATGCAGTTTTCGATTCACATATTCAGGTGTACAAGCAGTCATCACAATTTGATCATAAATCAGGTGCCCCAGGTTGAACTGCTTTCCTTTGATCACAAAAGCTAACAACTTGATCTGTTCCTTGACCATAGTCGTATGATTCGAGGTAGGCATCCAGGATGAGCAACACAGCTTGTAAAGAACTCCATAGTCAGGAAGGAGGTGTTTTGAAGCAAAACCTTCCCAACGAGTTTTACGTCCACCAGAAACATTGCTAACAGCGGCATCGATGTTCATGTTTTCCCAACCTCAAGAAGGAAGAGATTCCTCAATGAGAAACAGACGACTAATGATCTCTGGAGTGAATGCATACATCTCACCGTGAAAATACAGAAGGTTAACGCCATTCCTATATTCCAAGTCCGGAACAGATGCATAGAACTCATGAACCACATCAGGACAATAGAGATCAACATCAGTCACCGTATAGGTCAGACCAGCTCAATCAAGCATCTTTTGAACAGTGTCCAACTTGGGATCCTCAAGAGGGAGATATTTCTGATCAAGAAACGGACGGAAGCGAAAGGAGTCATACCTATCATGAACAGCCTCAGAAAAAAATCGGCGAACTGGTATGGTGAGAGGATGGGTGAGTTCTGGATGCATGCGGTTATGGGCAAGCTTAGCACGGCGATTTGCTGCATATCAAGTTTCCTGATCTTCATAATAGAGACGTTCACGCGGATCCTCAAAGCCATCAACTATATCAGCATCAGCATCAGAGGTTTCATCATCAGATCCAGCAATCGGGTTAGAGAGAGTGTCGCGGGGGTCTTCAAATGCAGCTTGCGGAGACCCGGGGCTACTGCTGTCGGTACTGTCATCATCAGGAATCAGCACAGGTTCTTAGCCGGCACGACAATTCGCTTTCAGCATCTGTGTGCGTCAGCGGAGAGCGGAAGCAAGAGTCTCAGAGTCCTCCGGTTCAAGACGCGAGGCAGCGATAGCGGCTAACATGAGCTTTGCAGACTGTTGACGAGTATGGCGAGACATGGTGAAAAAGAGAAAGTTTGAGAATTCAAGGGAAGATAAGGTAAGTGGCACACGATTAGGGTTTCATAGCACATGAAACGTCATCTGCTCCTTATAAACAAGCGGGAACCCTACACTCATGGGCTTAAAAATGAACTGTTAGCTGACCAAAGCAGTGGGCCGAAAGCCCACAAGCAATATCCATAAGAAAAAATGATGTGCGACACAAGCAACTTCCAATTAAAAATACACAGCTAAACAAAGACATCAACGCATCATCCAAAAGAGAACTAGAATAGGACCCCATGAAAATCAGTAAACATGTACACTGAGAACACAACGAACAACCTATGCAATGCAGACATACAAGAATACAATATAACCTCACGGGAGACGAGTGAGGATGAGAGGGACGATTACCAGGAGAACTGACACATATCATGAAGATTGAATAGAAAAAAAAAACATAAAAAAACTTTGGAGATCAAACTTATGAACACAGTGAAGCAGCAGACCTTTAGCCAAAGCACTTTCACATCACTGATTCAGTCGAATCAAGACCTGAGAGTCTCAACATTGTTTCATGAAATCAGTTGCCTTTAGGAGAGCTCTTATCACAGTTATATCACTGTGTCCTCTTCTACATCAGACGAAAGTGGTCACACCAAGATATACTCAAAAGATCAACCAACCTCAGCAACGATGCTGCATTCCCTCAGCTGAGGAGCATTCACACCTTTTGAGAGTCATAGCATGAGAGGCATTGAGTAATCACTCATCTTTTGCTTTTGAGATATATAGTTTTGTTATCTTTGTGCTGAGGTCGCTGTAATCTCCTGAGTGTATCTATGTCTTCCGTTTGTGTTGCTTACCCTCAGCCAAGGAGCATTCACACACATCTTATTTTGGAGCCCAAGACAGGTGTGATTAGCAAGCACTCAGACTGTAAAGGACTGTAAAAGAACTCTATGCTCAATCCTGTTAGTGATCAGCACCAGATATGGAGTGGGTTGACAATCCAATCCAAACAAAGTGACGATCATATTGAACAAACAACCAGATCTCAGAGACAAAGTCGAAAACACACAGACTGACTCGACCGAACTTGTTCACAAGGTTTTAAGAGACAGTAATTTAAAATGCATGATATATGTCAGTTCGTACCAGGTTACACCCCTCTTTGAACAGACCTAATGTTCACAAACACCCAACGCCTTTCGCAAATGCAAGAAGGTGTTGAAGTACAAAGGTTTAGTAAATATGTCTGCAAGCTGTTGTTCTGTGGGAACATGTTTAATGATCACAAGTTTATCCTCAACTAGTTCCCTAACAAAATGATGTCTGATGTCAACATGTTTTGTTCGTGAGTGCTGCACAAGATTTTTGGTAAGATCAATTGCACTTTTTTTTATCACAGTGGACTAAAAAATGATCATTGAAAATACCATAGTCAGCTAGCATCTGCCTCATCCAGAGTAACTGCATGCAGCAGCTGCCCAGAGCAATATACTCTGCCTCTGCAGTGCAGAGTGACACACAATTCTGTTTTTTGCTGTGCCAAGATATCATGTTGTTCCCAAGAAAGAAGCACCCTCCAGATGTACTCTTCCTATCATCCAAGCATCTTGTCCAATCTGCATCACAATACCCTACAAGATTCTCATTAGTCTCAGTGGTAAAAAAAATACCATAATCCAATGTACCTCTGACGTATTTGATAATACGCTTGACAGCGGCCATATGAGACTGCTTAGGAGCTGCTTGATACCGAGCACACAGGCCTACTGATGCGTGTCAACTGAGTAGATAGAATAGCTTAAGACATGTCATTTCAAATTGCATCACCCATTTCAAGTTTTACACAAGAAAACAAAAACAGAAAGGCTGATAATGAGTAGTCTGAAACAACAGTGACAAGACCAAAAAAAAAACAACTGATTACTACGATGTCCTGTCACAGAACCATCAAGAGCCAATATCTTCAGTCATCTTCATTCGGCTCCCCCTCAACCTCGGAACAACCAA